CGCTCTGGATATGTTGGATCATTGATCGCAACCATACACATTCTCTACCTGTTTCGTAGAGAGCTATCAACTCTGCATGATTTGATGATGTGGCAGTCAAAGTTTGCTTCATCGATCTCCATGATATTGCGGTATCTCCATAAGTAAACACATAACCTGTTTGAGATTTTGCTTTTTGCGGATCAGACAAATATCCTGCATCAGCATATCCAACAAGTGTGGCCTTGGCATCTTTGCGGTAGAATAAACCAAGGTCGATGGTACCATTGAGGTACCGCAAAATGTGTTTAATGCCATTCCAATGCCTCCTAGTCGGGGTTGAGCTATGTCTGGCTAACAAGTTCACTGAGAATGCAATATCAGGACGAGTGTTGTTTGCTAGATACATCAAAGCTCCAATAGCACTCAAGTATGGTATTTCCGGACCGAGTATTTCTTCATCATCTTCACGAGGTCGGAATGGATCATCATGTACATTGAGAGAGCGGACAACCATCGGGGATGTGAGAGGATGTGCTTTATCCATATAAAACTGCTTCAGAACCTTCTTCGTGTAATTTGACTGGTGGATGAGTATTCCGTCTTTCAAATGGTCAATTTGAAGACCAAGACAGAATTTTGTTCTCCCAAGATCTTTCATCTCAAATTCTTTCATGAGATATTTTGCAGTATTTTCTATTTCATCAGAAGTTCCAATGATGTTTAAATCATCAACATATACTGCAATAATGGCAAAGCCTAATTTAGATCTACGGATGAAAACACATGGACTAATTGGATCATTTTTGTATCCTTCTCTGAGCAGATATTCACTGAGACAATTATACCACATTATGCCAGATTGTTTTAGTCCATACAGTGACTTTTCCAATTTTATGGAAAACATCTCTCGAAGTTTTGAACTATAAACCTCAGGCAATTTTAGCCCTCCAGGAACTTTCATATATATGTTAGTATCGAGAGATCCATATAAATATGCTGTCACTACATCCATTAAACGCATTTGAAGCTTTTCAAAGACAGACATGCCTATTAAAAATCTCAATGTAGTTGCATCAACTACTGGGGAATAAGTTTCTTCATAATCTATCCCCGGGATTTGAGAAAAACCTTGGGCAACGAGGCGGGCTTTATATCTCACAATTTCATTTTTCTCATTGCGCTTACGCACAAAAATCCATTTGAAACCAACTGGTTTCACGCCTTTTGGCGTAGGAACTATAGGCCCAAAAACACTTCGTTTTTCAAGTGATTTCAATTCTGCTTGAATTGCTTCGTTCCATTTTGGCCAATCATGTCTGCGTCAACATTTATCAACTGAAGTTGGCTCAATGTCATCATTTTCATCCATGATGTTTGTGGCAATGGCATATGCGAATATATCATCAACATGAACATCTTTTCTGTTCCATTGCAATCCCGTAGAAACGTAATTTATTGAGATTTCATAATTATCAACGTTTCTATCTTCATCTGAATTATTCGCATCTTCAGAGATTGTTAAATCCTCCTTTGAAACAACATGCTCAGTTTGTTCATTTTCTTTCCTTGAAGAATGAACATCTTTTGTTTCAAACATTGTCTCTTGCCTTTTAAGTTTTCTTGGTTTTACATCTTTTGAACCAAGTGGTCTGCCACGCTTTTTGCGTATTGAAGACTCATTTGCAAGAGTTTTTTCATTTTTCTCTGAAGAAATTTCAATTCTGGCAGGAGCATTCATAGCAGGAATATGTGACTTTGTCACTTTCTTTGAATCCGTGAATGCGTCAGGCAATTGATTTGCAACATTTTGTAAATGAATTATCTTTTGCACTTCTTGTTCGCATGCATTTGTTCTTGCATCAAGAAAAGATAATCCTGTTGCATTCCATGTAATTTTTTTGTACATGGGTCCTTTTTCTCATTTTCTCCCCCTAAGGCTGGGAATACTGTCTCATCAAAATGACAGTCAGCAAACCGAGCTGTGAATAAATCACCAGTCATGGGCTCAAGATATTTTATAATTGAGGGAGAATCAAAGCCAACATAAATTCCCAGTCTTCTTTGAGGACCCATTTTTGTACCATGTGGTGGAGCAATTGGTACATATACGGCACATCCAAATATTTTTATGTGAGAAATATTTGGTTCTTTTCCAGTTACCAATTGCAATGGGGAAAAAATATGATTTGCAGTAGGCCTTAGCCGAATTAAATTTGCAGCATGCAATACAGCATGTCCCCAAACAGATGCAGGTAAACTGGATTTCATCAATAATGGTCTAGCAATTAATTGTAATCGCTTTATTAAAGACTCAGCAAGACCATTTTGAGTGTGCACATGAGCAACTGGATGCTCCACATCAATCCCAATAGACATGCAATAGTCATTAAATGATTGGGATGTAAATTCTCCTGCATTATCAAGTCGGATTTTCTTTATTGAATAATCCGGAAATTGAGCTCTCAAACGTATGATTTGAGCAAGGAGTTTTGCAAATGCAAAATTTCTTGTAGATAAAAGACTAACATGTGACCAACGTGTTGATGCGTCGATCAACACCATAAAATAACGAAATGGTCCACATG